GAGCACAGGCAGAGGACATGGAGCCCCTGCCGGTGGTGAAAACCACCTCCAGACCAGGGTTTCTCAACCTTGGCACTACTCACATTGCAGACTAGGCGAGTCTTGGTTGTGGGAGGCTGTCCTGTGCATCGTAGGACATTTAGCAGCCTCCTTGACCTCTGCCCACTGGATACCAGTCCCATCACCCTTCCCAGTTGCGACAACAAAAAATGTCTCAAGACGTGGCCCAGTATCGCTCGGCAAGCAAAATCAACCCTGGTTGAATACAACTGGGAATGCTTTTACCTGCAAAAACTAAGACTTCAGAAAGGTGTAAAAGCCCTCTTCAGATATCCATAGGGCCACTGCGCAGAAACAGAACTAGAGATAGAAGTTTTCAGTTGAACCAGAGGGTGAAACTGGAAGTTACAGAAAGTCAATTTCGGGGAAACATTCTTAACTTCAGGATTGACTTAAGTTCACACTGTATTGCAGTGGAACTTGGCGAATCCCAGTCCTCGGTGCCTTCCTGCAGGCTTGGACCCACTGCATTGTTGGGAGGACTGGGAACTTCAGCATTCTGAGATTTAGTGTCTGTATGTTTTGACTGTTCCTAAAGCAGCTTGTAAAGAAGTAAAATAATCCCTTGGGGGCTCAGGGGAGGTGGCAGAGTAAAGGGATAGTAATGAAGGTAGAATCCTGGCTCTTGAGTCAGGTTGCCTGGGCTAGATCCAGTTTTTACCACCTGTGGGATTTTGGACAAATCCTGACACTTCTGTGTTTTTGTTGCTCACCTGTGAAATGGGTACATTTATAGTTCCTGTCTCAGAAGTAGTTATGAGGACTTAATGAGATAGTACAGGTAGAGTCCTTGCTAAGTAAATGGATATAGTAGCTATTATTATTACCTCAGCCAGGGTGCTTTGCCTGACCTCCAAAGAGCTTGCAAATTTAATTAGCTACTTCTGTCTAAGGGTATTGTGTACATGTGTTTTGGGAGCAGTTCATAGTAGGAGAAATATTTTTATTAGCAGGGGTAATCTAATCCAAAGATAGGAATTAAAAATCAAGTTATCAGATTTCTATTTGGCCCTTGATTTAGAGACAAAAATTAAGATTTTTAAGGAAACTCCATTAGTCAGCACTAGAACTTAATTTTTACTAATTATTTTATTCAGTAATATTTATTTTCATCTACTTAATTAATTTTTTAAATACATCTTTATTGATTTCAGAGAGAGGAAAGGAGAGGGAGAGAGAGATAGAAACATCAATGATGAGAATCATTGATCGGCTGCCTCCTGCACACCCCTGACTGGGCATCGAGCCCTCAACCCGGGCATGTGCCCTGACTGGGAATTGAACCCTGATTGCCTGGATCCTAGGTCGATGCTCAACCGCTGAGCCACACCCTGTCAGGCCATCTACTTAATTTAGATTCTTGAATACAGCCATCAAAAGGATGGTTAGCCCTGGCCGGTGTGGCTCAGTTGGTTGGCACCGAAAGGTCACTGGTTCAGTTCCCGGTAGGGGGCGTGCAGGAGGCAACTGATGGATGATTCACTCTTACATTGATCTTTCTCTCTCTCCCTCTCCCTCTTTCTTCCTCTCTCTCTAAAAATCAATACAAAATTTAAAAAATGTTTTAAAAAGAAAGATGTTTATTTTTCTAGATTCTTTGCTAGACAGCAAAGATTGGAAAGATATGAGGAAAGATATTAGAAAGTGTATACAAGGCGGCTTATTTAGGGCAGCTGCCTCAAGGGTGCCAAGGCCTGGATAAGAACCTTGAACCCATAAAATCAAGTGGGTGTGCTTCTTTGCCTCTTTCTAGCTTCAGGATGTTTGCTCACAATCTTTGGTGTCCCTTGGCCTTTAGATACGTCATTCCAATCCTCTGTCTTCATGTGGCTGTCTTTTCTCTGTGCATGTCAGTCTCTGTGTCCAAATTTCCCTTTTTATGAGGATATCAGTCATGTCAGGTGAAGGCCCACTCTAATGACCTCATTTTAAGTTAATTAGCTCTCTGTATACCTATTTTCAAATAAGGTCACATCCAAGGTACTGAGCTTTAGGACTTCAACATATTTTTTGGAGAAGGGGGACACAATTGAACCCATAACAGAAACTTAAGCAAAAAGGGAATTTATTAGAAAGACATGAGGCAGCTGATTAAACTAAAGGGAGTGCTGCAGAATGAGGGACTGAAGGAGCATGGCTCCCCGAAGACCCAGGGGAAGGAGCTACTGTCAGCTCTGCCAGGAGGGTGCTGCGGGAACAGGGGGACTTCCCCGTCTTTGCATCACTCTGCATGGTGTCTGGAGTCCCAGGAAGCACTGATTGGGTCACTCCTTGGCTGGAAATGTCAGAGTCCCATCATTTGCTTTCCCAATACCACATCAACAGACAAGAGAGAATTCCCCAAAGATTCTGGGTGCTATTACCAAGAAAAAAGAAGGGAGCTGCTGAATGGACACAATGAAATGTCTAACCTAGGTCCTCTAGCAGGAAATGAGGTAGGGAGCAAAATCTGGAAAATATATGTATTTTCCTACACACCTAATTCATCCTCTCTATGGAGGGAATTCCAGATCATCATCACTCTTGCCATCACTGAGTTATATTTAGTTAGAGCTGGCTGCCATGTCAGTTTCATACCTAGAGGAAAATGAGGTTCTGACTAATCCCCTCTTCCAGTCTTTGGACGGTTGTCCCTTGCACTCTGCTGCAGGTCAGCTGCGCCATTTAGATGGAAAATATAGTCCCCCCATCTCCCCAGGCACCTGCTTCTCATGCTTTAACATTGGGCTCTCCTCATTCCACCCGCTCCAACTCATCCCACCACCACCTCTTCAAAAAATATTGCCATTGTTATGTTAGTTTTGCTTTGAATTAAGAAAAGAAGAGGTGGGGAAATTAACAAAGTGAACTACATAGAACGAGGGCGATAAGGGGGCGGAACATCATTCAACGGTACGAAGTCTTGGAAAATACACTTAGCCTCCTGGCTATCTTTTTGCGCTTATTAAGATTCTTGCAAAGACAAATAACAGAGAGACCTACTGCGATGTTTTGCCTGTTGTCCAATTCTGTGAACCGCCTGGACTGGGCCGTGGTGATCTCTAAGGCTGGAACGAGTGCCAGGAGCAGTCTGGGAGTTAGAGGTGTGACCGTTGAGTGGGGCAGGTCGCATCTGTGCCTGGAGGTAAGAAGACGATCAGTGCCGCAGGCAGAGCATGGACTCAGCGAAAGGTGCGCAGAGTCCCGAGAGGAAGAGAAGACCCTGCTAAATGGGGCTGAGGCAGCCTCTATCCGTAGGCAGGAAACAGTGAAACAGGAAATATTTGAAATTTTGCATCTTAGAGAAACAGTGAAATGGCCCAGCCCAGAAATAACACATGTCAATTCTGTTCACAACTCATTGACCAGACCAGTCACTTGGCCCTACCCAGCCCAAAGGAGGCCAGGACATGTGTGTGCCCAGAAGGAGGGCCTGGGCTGACTTAGCTAACGGCCGTAATGACTTCCACTTGTCAAAATGCAATCTCCAGGTCCTTCCTCAGGAGATCCTTGGCGCCTGCATTTCGAACAGGCCTCCTCCGGTGAATCTGATGCAGGGGAACGGGGTGGAATCCCTGGACCACAACGTAAGGACGGTTGACTTAGAGCATCACTTTAGTATAGGCGGGTAGGTGAGCAAGAGAATGGCGACAAATCTGAGACAGTTCCTAAAGCTCAGATGTTGGGCCAGGCATTAAGTCGCCTCAAATTGTTATCAAAGAGGACCACAGATGCCAGGACGCTGAGGCCCAGAGGGCTGGACTGGAGCCCCTCAAATGCCCAGGTGTGAGGGCACTGTTGGGGCCGCGCCTGAGGCAGGGCGGACCGCAGCTGTGTGCCCGCGTCCCAGGCAAGGGGAAAGGCAGAGGCTGTGGGCTCACTCCAGGCCGCGATCCTCAGATGTGACCTAAAGCCGATATTTGCATCAGCAGAAGCTCATGGCCACTGTAACATATTTCATTGTATAATTGCTTTCTGTCTTTCCTCTGTTCTTTTCTCTCATCTCTCCCCTTCCTCCCCCCCTTCCTCTGCTACCCACTGTCCCCTTCCCCCACTATCATTTTCTTTCCCGATGTTTCCTTCTCATATCTCCCTTCTTCTCTCCACTCCTTCTCCCCCCTTCCCCCTCTCATCCCTCCTCGCC